GTTGAAATATCGGTCTTATAGACTATTGCATTTTGTGAAACTATGCTTTAAAGATATTAAAGTGATTCAATTTCTTTGTCCATACACTACGCTATTTTTTTGGTCTTAGCGTGTTTGTATGTGTCGGCATTTTTCTTCCTTTTTGGTTGTGACTTGCTTCTGCAGACCCGACATGGCTCATCGCTGTCTCTCTGTCATTGGTTTCCCCCCATAATTCAAAACTCTAAAATCCTTTGCTCACATCTTAAAAGCAGCCCTGATACATGCGTAATATTGAAAAGTTTATCACAACTAAAATTAATAGTAAACATTTTTTAAAATTTATAAAAATACTACTAATTTACTTGAAAAACGTTGACTTTAAATTCGAACGCGTTCACTTGTTGTCACTTGTATACATGTCATATAGAAAAAGTCCAACACTTGTTCCATCAAAACTTTGCTTGTGTCTTCCAACCGAATGACCCCTTCTTCCTTTTCGTTCAGAAGAGCACTGTAGAATAACGGACTCGCAGCACATAACACGATTCTGTGAGCTATCAAGCGACCTTGATCTTCATAGGATCCAATTTCTAGAATCACATTACACAAATGATCGTTCCTTCGCTGGACGTCGAGGCGTTTGATTATGTGTCTGCAAAACTGTTGCCCCCCCTCACACAATGTTTTTTTTCCCAGAGGGATTTCGGGTCAAAATTTTCATTTTTTTCTTAGTGTGTGTATGGTGAAAATGGAACTGAAAGTGGTGTTTGGTGATGTTACCGGTATCTTGGATATTTTCCAAAAGAGAGAGCTTTAAGTTCACCATACACTTGGTGACGTTATTGTGGGATTTTGGCCTTGGAAGGAGTTGTGTACAATTGTTTGATGGAACCTGATTGAGAGATTTGCTCTTAGATTTGTCCTCTGGCTTAGAATCTTTTTGGGTTTCTCCAAAGTATCATACCACACCGTCACTAAAACTTGAAGCATCACAGTCTTTGAAATGTGATGGCTCATTGACACTTCGTAGCTCACAAACTAGTAAACCTATGAAGCTATCTTTTTTGGGGTATAGAAAAAAGAATTACTGTAATAGTGGATGTAAATTTTTTTGGTTAAGTCTAACCTATTGCAGGCTAGAAAAGCTGCTCGACTCCAGCTCCTCCTCCTCATTATCACGTTCCATCTTGTCTCTTTTCTCTGGAATTTCTTGCGTTTTTGCAACTTGTGTTGCTGTTTACAACTATAAAACTACCATGTTTCAATCAAAAAGGAAAAAAAAAGCATAATTGAACACGAGTGAATAGTCACCGAGGCAAAAGAAACGTTTAAGGAAGTACTTTAATTTACAAGCACACGATCTTGTAGCAAAATTGACCTAAATTGATTTTTTCGTCCACTGTAATGAATATTTGTCTCGCAAGATATCGTGTTTTTGGAGAACGGCAATGTGTAGCTCGCGCAATTTAAACATAGCCCTGAGAAAATTAATATGTCCATGAGGAAATGACCGAGTTATGGACAAGGTACAAGAAATAAGCGTTGTGCTTGTAACAGTGGCTTTCGTCGGCATAAGTTGTACCAGATATCACAGGACAAGTAAAAAATACAATAAATATAAGAGCAACAAAAAACATGGCAGCTATCACAGCGCCTCACAACTATGTAAAAAGGCCAAAATAATGATGTTGGTGAAGCCAAAAATGTTGATGAAGCTGATGATGTTGTTGATGATGGTAGTGATGGCAATGATAAGTATGATAAGATTGACATCGCGATCAGAAGGTAAAGACACACAGGTCAGCCCTGATCCGTCACCCCTGACTCCTTGTCATTGATTGCCGTCAACTGTCTTAAAACGGCAAATATGGGTGAACTTCACCTTGATTTAATGTATCTCTCTGCATTCTTCTGAATGTTGGGGCATGTCTTAAATTGTTCTTGGGTGCCTGAAATGAGGAATATAAGTAATTGGGCTGACACATTGACTAGCAAAGGTGGATAACCCCTCTTCTTGAGAAGTACCATTGCTGCTGGACTATTTGATCCTTTGTCAAAAGCAATGACCATTATTCTTTCTTGATCACTGGATCTCAAACATGTTGTAGTTCCCGTTGAAGGTTTGTGTTTTAAACCGAAATATCGGGCAAATATAATTCACCACTTTTTTTCCTATCCTGCCGTAAGGATCAGTTTACTGTTTAAATTTTAAGATTTTGCTGATCCAGGTCTAATGAAGATCCGGCTGACCCGTGTCACTGGTTTTGCCCTCCCAAATGTTTCGCCTAAACGCGACATTTATCGTCGTCATCCTGAATTTGTTGAGAAAACAATTCCTATTGCGACTCCCATATACAATATTAACGAGGTTAGGATTTTTACAGCACATCAAGATTGGCCTTAGAGCAAACCCTTGTCTTATTTAGTGTGATTTAGTGAATCTCTCTGCATTCTTCTGAATGTTGGGGCATGTCTTCTTCTTGGGTGCCTTGAGGACTATAAGTATGGGCTGACACATTGACTAGCAAAGGAGGATTAATCCGAGGTTGTTTCCACTCAGCAGTCTGCATAACAGCATAACCTGGCGCTGTAGGAACATACGAAGGAGTGCAGGAGTGGTTGTAGGCATTTCAGTCACATTTCGCACATCACCTTCATTTTGAAACGTTACAAACCCATAGCCTTTAAGCAACCGGTATTCATCCGATATGGCTTTAGCCTTAATAACTGGACTGAAATAAGAGAAATACTCTGCGAGCTCTTAGGCAGTTGTGTCTTGCGGCAATCCACCGACGAATAGCCGGTTTTTATATCTTTTGCCGAAGAGGTGAGTGGATTGACCGTCCGGTATTTTTAACACAACAGCAGATTTTCTGCCTCTCGCTTTGCTTCAGTAGGTGGGAACTAACATATCAAAAAAAAAACACCCAATAGAATGAAATTGGTTACTACCATAAGGCCGTTTATGGCGTTCCAATGTTAATTAAAAATAAACACATTATTCGCATATGTTACAGATACAAATTTAAGACTAAAAGAGGGTATATAACATTGTTGCAGACTGGACATCAAATAACATTAAGAATAAAAAAAAAACATTTATAATTGTATTAATTCAGAAAATTTAGACCCGTTAATTAAACAATCATTCCGTAAGTTAAATGTCTCCTTACAACTTCATCTTCAGATAATCTTAAGGTTCCAACTTTATTTATGTACAAGGAATATAAAAAATACAAAACATATACAGCGTGTTTAATTTGAAAAAGCTAGGGTATATACCCAAACATAAATAATTGGAAAACGGTTTAATTTTGTTTGCAGTAAAATAGACAACAATTACAAGCCTCCCACGCGCTTCCTTAATCTTTCAAATGGTTCAAAAGAATTTTGACATATTCCAAGCCATGCGACCCGTGATGGATACTTAAAAATAATGTTGTCGGATGGCCTGAGATTTGGTCGTGTACAATTCCTTTGTGTATTGTAGGAAATGGTTAGAGATTGCCGCTTGGTTGCCCTTATATTTATGTAACGTTAAGTAAGAAGGATAAGTGTGGTTATCTCTTGCTCCTTTTGTCAGGTGGTTCATTACTGTCATTTTCCAATCCGGGCCTTAACTTTCGAAGCTTCTTCTCCAGTTTGTTTATGTTTATTTCGTTTTTTCCTCAACGCATCACCTTTAGCAGCAACTTGATCCACAAACACAGTTATTTATCTTTTGAATCTTTTAAATGAATTAATAGTATATTTATATTTATTAATAGTATATATTTCTTATTCCTTCATTTAACTTTCCCTGTTCCATATATTCTTTTAGACAATATTGCTTCTTGTCAGAGTTGCAGTCTAAATCGCTTACACATCCGTTTATTGCTTCTGAACAAAATTTATTAGGCTGCACGACCTCTTGCGGGGGCATAGATGTTGCATGAAGAATAAAGAACAATAGTAATGGACTCTGCCCATGCGAGAGGTGTGTGAAGGTTGTGCTGTCTGAACATGTACTGTAGGTGGGGGTGTTTGTGCCATAACAGCTCGACTTTGTAATGGTAACGAGGTTTCTCCTTCCAAAAACTGGCTGAATGGCTCCTTCTTGACAGCCTTTCGGAGCTTTAGCTTTCTTCCATTTTTGTAGTCTGCTGAGCCCTTTTTCAGAAGCTTCTTACGTGGATGATTGTTGCGAAAGTTACAAACCCATAGCCCTTTTTAACCCTGTTTGAAAACCACTCCACAATTAACTAACAATTCTGAGTTTTCGACTGGAGTGGGCACGTGCTTCTTTGCGGCAGGACTTATGTTTAGTTTTTTGTTTCTTAAGAAGAGGGTGGATTTTAAGGGATGTAAAGAGATGACCATGTATAAAGATGAAAGAATCTGTTGCATGCCTGCTTCTTCTGCCTATCCTTCCTATGCCTTTGATGATGCCATTCTTTGTCCCTTCTTGAGTGGCAAGAAGTGCATGTGTATTCTGTAATAATCCACCTGGCTTGAAATGTGTTCCTAGATCCGAGATTTAACATGTTTTAACATTTGTTCCCTTTGAACACCATTATATCTAGCTTGCTTGTGTGTTTGTCTTACCAGGCCTCCATTAGCTTTGTATAATTAGTTTTCTGCAGAAAAGGCTACTATGTGTACTGCGCTAAACAATTTTGAAGTAAATGTTTACATTGTTGTTGTTATTAAACATGAAAATTGTACAAAATAAAAGATTTGACTAGTAGTTTTTTTCTAGCAAATCTCAATACTTACGTTGCATGAACAGTTCATCAGCTTCTGCAACAGCCTCGTTGAATTCCAGCTGTCGCTGTTCATTCTTAAAACCTATGTTCTTACAAGTGTGTGAAGGTTGTGCTGTCTGAACAGGTACTGTAGGTGGGGTGTTTGTGCCATAATAGCTCGACTTTGTAATGGTAACGAGGTTTCTCCTTCCAAAAACTGGCTGAATGGCTCCTTCTTGACAGCCTTTCGGAGCTTTAGCTTTCTTCCATTTTTGTAGTCTACTGTGCCCTTTTTCAGAAGCTTCTTACGTGGATGATTGTTGCGAAAGTTACAAACCCATAGCCCTTTTTAACCCTGTTTGAAAACCACTCCACAATTAACTACCAATTCTGAGTTTTCGACTGGAGTGGGCACGTGCTTCTTTGCGGCAGGACTTATGTTTAGTTTTTTGTTTCTTAAGAAGAGGGTGGATTTTAAGGGATGTAAAGAGATGACCATGTATAAAGATGAAAGAATCTGTTGCATGCCTCCTTCTTCTGCCTATCCTTCCTATGCCTTTGATGATGACATTCTTTGTCCCTTCTTGGGTGGCAAGAAGTGCGTGTGTATTCTGGAATAATCCAGCTGGCTTGAAATGTGTTCCTAGATCCGAGAGTTCACATGTTTTAACATTTGCTCCCTTTGAACACCATTATATCTTGCTTGCTTTTGTGTTTGTCTTACCAGGCCTCCATTAGTTTTGTATAATTAGTTTTCTGCGGAAAAGGCTACTATGTGTACTGCGGTAAACAATTTTGAAGTAAATATTTACATTGTTGTTGTTATTAGACATGAAAATTGTACAAAATAAAAGATTTGACCAGTACTTTTTTCTAGCAAATCTCAGTACTTAGGTTGCATGAACAGTTCATCAGCTTCTGCAACAGCCTCGTTGAATTCCAGCTGTCGCTGTTCATTCTTAAAACCTATGTTCTTACAAGTGTGTGAAGGTTGTGCTGTCTGAACATGTACTGTAGGTGGGGTGTTTGTGCCATAACAGCTCGACTTTGTAATGGTAACGAGGTTTCTCCTTCCAAAAACTGGCTGAATGGCTCCTTCTTGACAGCCTTTCGGAGCTTTAGCTTTCTTCCATTTTTGTAATCTACTGTGCCTTTTTTCAGAAGCTTCTTACGTGGATGATTGTTGCGAAAGTTACAAACCCATAGCTCTTTTTAACCCTGTTTGAAAACCACTCCACGATTAACTACCAATTCTGAGTTTTCGACTGGAGTGGGCACGTGCTTCTTTGCTGCAGGACTTATGTTTAGTTTTCTGTTTCTTAAGAAGAGGGTGGATTTTAAGGGATGTATAGAGATGACCATGTATAAAGATGAAAGAATCTGTTGCATGCCTGCTTCTTCTTCCTATCCTTCCTATGCCTTTGATGATGCCATTCTTTGTCCCTTCTTGGGTGGCAAGAACTGCATTTGTATTCTGTAATAATCCACCTGGCTTGAAATGTGTTCCTAGATTCGAGATTTAACATGTTTTAACATTTGTTCCCTTTGAACACCATTATATCTTGAAATAAAACCTTTGCATATTTCATTTCTCACCATTTTTTAAACGTGCTTTTGTGTTTGTCTTACCAGGCCTCCATTAGCTTTGTATAATTAGTTTTCTGCGGAAAAGGCTACTATGTGTACTGCGGCAAACAATTTTGAAGTAAATATTTACATTGTTGTTGTTATTAGACATGAAAATTGTACAAAATAAAAGATTTGACTAGTACTTTTTTCTAGCAAATCTCAATACTTACGTTGCATGAACAGTTCATCAGCTTCTGCAACAGCCTCGTTGAATTCCAGCTGTCGCTGTTCATTCTTAAAACCTGTGTTCTTACAAGTGTGTGAAGGTTGTGCTGTCTGAACATGTACTGTAGGTGGGGTGCTTGTGCCATAACAGCTGGACTTTGTAATGGTAACGAGGTTTCTCCTTCCAAAAACTGGCTGAATGGCTCCTTCTTGACAGCCTTTCGGAGCTTTAGCTTTCTTCCATTTTTGTAGTCTACTGTGCCCTTTTTCAGAAGCTTCTTACGTGGATGATTGTTGCGAAAGTTACAAACCCATAGCCCTTTTTAACCCTGTTTGAAAACCACTCCACAATTAACCACCAATTCTGAGTTTTCGACTGGAGTGGGCACGTGCTTCTTTGCGGCAGGACTTATGTTTAGTTTTTTGTTTCTTAAGAAGAGGGTGGATTTTAAGGGATGTAAAGAGATGACCACGTATAAAGATGAAAGAATCTGTTGCATGCCTGCTTCTTCTGCCTATCCTTCCTATGCCTTTGATGATGCCATTCTTTGTCCCTTCTTGGGTGGCAAGAAGTGCGTGTGTATTCTGTCATAATCCACCTGGCTTGAAATGTGTTCCTAGATCCGAGATTTAACATGTTTTAACATTTGTTCCCATTGAACACCATTATATCTTGCTTGCTTTTGTGTTTGTCTTACCAGGCCTCCATTAGCTTTGTATAATTAGTTTTCTGCGGAAAAGGCTACTATGTGTACTGCGGTAAACAATTTTGAAATATTTACATTGTTGTTGTTATTAGACATGAAAATTGTACAAAATAAAAGATTTGACTAGTACTTTTTCTAGCAAATCTCAATACTTACGTTGCATGAACAGTTCATCAGCTTCTGCAACAGCCTCATTGAATTCCAGCTGTCGCTGTTCATTCTTAAAACCTATGTTCTTACAAGTGTGTGAAGGTTGTGCTGTCTGAACATGTACTGTAGGTGGGGTGTTTGTGCCATAACAGCTCGACTTTGTAATGGTAACGAGGTTTCTCCTTCCAAAAACTGGCTGAATGGCTCCTTCTTGACAGCCTTTCGGAGCTTTAGCTTTCTTCCATTTTTGTAGTCTACTGTGCCCTTTTTCAGAAGCTTCTTACGTGGATGATTGTTGCGAAAGTTACAAACCCATAGCCCTTTTTAACCCTGTTTGAAAACCACTCTACAATTAACTACCAATTCTGAGTTTTTGACTGGAGTGGGCACGTGCTTCTTTGCGGCAGGACTTATGTTTAGTTTTTTGTTTCTTAAGAAGAGGGTGGATTTTAAGGGATGTAAAGAGATGACCACGTATAAAGATGAAAGAATCTGTTGCATGCCTGCTTCTTCTGCCTATCCTTCCTATGCCTTTGATGATGCCATTCTTTGTCTCTTCTTGGGTGGCAAGAAGTGCATGTGTATTCTGTAATAAGCCAGCTGGCTTGAAATGTGTTCCTAGATCCGAGATTAAACATGTTGTAACATTTGTTCCCTTTGAACACCATTATATCTTGAAATAAAACCTTTGCATATTTCATTTCTCACCATTTTTTAAACGTGCTTTTGTGTTTGTCTTACCAGGCCTCCACTAGCTTTGTATAATTAGTTTTCTGCGGAAAAGGCTACTATGTGTACTGCGGTAAACAATTTTGAAGTGAATATTTACATTGTTGTTGTTATTAGACATGAAAATTGTATAAAATAAAAGATTTGACTAGTACTTTTTTCTAGCAAATCTCAATACTTACGGTGCAAGAACAGATTATCAGCTTGTGCAACAGCCTTGTTGAACCACGCTTTTCGCTGCTCATTCGTAAAACCTATGTTCTTACAAGTCTTGACATTTGTGTGCATTTTTTTCGTATAATTATTTAAAAATACCAAGCCCCGCCCGTCTCATTTCATTTTCAGTGCCTTTCACTGGAGCGGAATACCAAAAAGGCTTTCTCAGAGTGATTTAGCTATAGTGGAATGAAACCGTTTTCACCAACACAAATTATCATACATTGATTGTGAATAAACTGAGGGACTTAGTTTCTGATCAACAAATGTTGTCAAAGTATAAGTCTCTTCAATTTTAAAGGAAAAAAGAATTGCTCAATATCGTAAAGGGAAAACTACAGTCAAAATATCGGTCTTATAGACTATTGCTTTTTGTGAAAATATGCTTGAAAGATATTAAACGGCTGTTTGCTCCGGTGATGCAATTTGTTTGTCCATCTACTACGCTATTTTGCTGGTCTTAGCGTGTTTGTAGTTGTCTCGGCATTTTTCTTCCTTGTTGGTTGTGACTTGCCTCTGCAGACCCGACATGGCTTATCGCTCTATTCCTCCCGTAATTCATAACTCTAAAATCCTTTGCTGCGATCTTAAAAGCAGCCCTGGCCGTACTTTGGCAATTGATCCCGTTCTATCTGATCATTGGCTATTGTTAGGTTTTCCCTTAGATATTCACTGCATTTCTCAGCAAGTGAAGATAAAATTCTTTTTATTCGAGAAGTACAGAACGTTCATCACGCTACTTTCGCTTAAATTAACTTGATCGCTTGTACGGGAAGAACTGTAACAGACTCTCGTAATCACAGTCAGGCTGTTGAAGGGTCTTAAGCCTCTGACAGTTATAGTAAAATGAATTTCTCTAAACGCTTTAAAAATATACAAATACAAGTTTAAGGGTATGTATCAAAAAATATATAGTTGAAAAGGGATTTCATTTTCGTTGCAGTATGGGCAAAAATTACAAGCCTCGTGCGCGCTTCCTTCCTTGAACCATGACCCTATCCCAAGCCATGCATCACTTGAAACGTACAATTGCTTGGTGGAACCAGATTGAGAGATTGCTGGCGGTTTGCTCTTAGATTTGTCCTCTGGCTTAGAATCTTTTTGGGTTTCTCCAAAGTATCATACCACATCGTCACTAAAACTTGTAGCATCACAGTGTCTGAAATGTGATGGCTCATGTTTGACACTTCGTAGCTCACAAACTAGTAAACCTATGAAGCTATCTTTTTCTTGGTATTGAAAAAAAAGAATTGCCTTAATAGGGATGTAATTTTTTTTGGTTAAGTCTAACCTATTACGGGGTAGAAAAGCTGCTCAAGTCTGCAGAACCTCATCCTGTTTCTCCTCTTCTTCCAGTTCCTCCACCTCATTATCACGTTCCACCTTGTGTCTTTTCTCTGGAATATCTTGCGTTTTTGCAGCTTGTGTTGCTGTTTACAACTATAAAACTACTATGTTTCCATCAAAAAGAATAAAAAAAGCATAAGTGAAAACGAGTGAATAGTCACCGAGGTATTGGCGCTTAGAGATAACCAAAATTAGCATAATCACGTTGAGTTGTTGTAGAAAGTATCTTAACAAACAAAAACAAATATGACGAAACTAAATGGAGTACTTTAATTTACAAGCACACGCTTTTTGTAGCAAAATTGAACCAAATTGACTTTTTTCGTCCAGTGTAATGAATATTTGACTCGGCAAGATATTGTGTTTTTGGAAAACGACAATGTGTCGCTCGCACAATTTGAACATAATCCTGAGAAAATTTTTTAAGTCCATGAGGAAATGACCGAGTTGTGGACAAGGTACAAGAAATAAGCGTTGTGCTTGTAACAGTGGCTTTCGTCGGCATAAGTTGTACCAGATATCCCAGGACAAGTAAAAAATACAATAAATATAAGAGCAACAAAAAACATGGCAGCTATCACAGCGCCTCACAACTAAGCAAAAAGACCGAAATAATGATGTTGGTGAAGCCAAAAATGTTGATGAAGCTGGTGATGATGTTGATGGTGATGATGGTAGTGATGGCAACGGTAAGGATGATAAGATTGACATCGCGATCAGAAGGTAGAGACACACAGGTCAACCCTGATCCGTCACCCCTGACTCCTTGTCGAGATCGGGCGAGAAAAATCGATTGGTCATTGATTGCCGTCAACTCTCTTAAATTGGCAAATATAGGTGAACTTCGCTACGGAGTCCTGGGGACAGATCCCAACTTCGGACTCAGAGAAGAAATTAAATTTTCTTATGTTTACGTCCTCCAACAACGGCTTAAAAAGAAATTTATGGTTGTGTTCGTACAGGTTGTAAAGAGAAGCGTGCTGGACGTTCAAAATTTGTTGTTAACTCTAACTCGTCGCACTTCGTCGTTGCTCTCAGGATTTATCGATGTGTGTAAACCGTTAGGAATCCGAGCACGTTTTTAGTAAAAATCTCTGCCATCTTTTCACTAGATGTATATGTTATTCAAGATTCGGTTTATAAATGAATTACTTCGTTTCTCTGCAAACCAACATTTGTGTGGAGAGGGAAAAAAATATATTTCAAAGAAACAACCGGAAATGAATGAATTGAGGCAAACTGCGCTCTGAAAATTATTATCTTTATATATTTTGCTTTCTTTTAACAATTATTATTATTTATTCATTCATCTACCTGTACGCATGTGCGCACCGTGCGTAGAGGTGGCTACGCCCCTGTCTCTCTTTCTTCTCACTGCAATAAGTATTACTGTCCTTTTCCAATCCGGGCCTTAACTTTCGAAGCTTCTTCTCCAGTTCGTTTATGCAAGGAGACAAGCTCTTCCTTAACTCGTTCTGCCGCTCCTCACGTGCGCGACCTTGGACCATCTCCGTCTCATGATTCTCGCAAACCTTCTGCAAGCGCCCAAGAGATTCATACTTCTCTTTTAACTGCCGATACTGCTCCGAAAAAAATGATAAAAATGATAAAAAAGTGTAATGTACGTGCATAAGTAATGTTCTGCGTATAACGCTAATCGTTTTTGGTCGTTGTCTTTGCCGTTGTCGTTGCTTCCTTGTTTTAGCTGCTGAAATGCACCTTTTAAGTAACACTGGAAAACTGCCTGTAGCTTCCAGAGTCTGATCTGCGGTTAGTTGCACCACCACTGCTTTTACCCGAGTACTTTTTTCCAAAGAGGCTGTGACAGTTGCTTCCAAATTTTGAGTTATCAACTGCATGGAGTTAGGGCTGCAGTTTCCTTTTTGCCTGCAACTTTAGATGATAGCGAAGGTTGTTCATAACCTTCTTCAAAATGGCTTTGTGGTTGACGTTTACATGCTAGAGGCCGCTGTGTTTTGATATTTTCTTTCTTACTAGTTCTATTGTGAAAGCCAGTCTACTCTGTCATAATTCTTTAATAATGTGGCTTGGAATCACGTAGAAACTGAAACAACAATACAGCGAAACATCTATAACTAACAAAAATATATCTGGACGCGAAATAT